CCAGTCTGGGTGACAGAGTGAGACTTCAACTCAAAAATAAAATAAAATAAAATAAAATAAAATAAGCATATTATGTACCTTAAAGCGTTGTTTACGGGTGTTAGGTGAGCTCTGAGCAGAATGTGGCAACGTTAACCTTATAATATGTGTTAATTTTAGTTATCAATTTACGGTAGCCGTAGCTACTCATAAACTATATACATAGAAAGAGTTGGCATTGCCCTTCTACTATGTGAACATATTAAAAAAAAAATTTGGAAAGTTTTTCCTTTTGAAATCCTTGATGGCATTCTTTATAGGCATACTCCCTCTTTACATACTTTTAGAAAGATGTATGAATGACATATTTAAAAGGTTATATTGTGGAAGCTCTGTATTTCAGGAATGCAAAGGATGATGAATCTTTAGTAAAGAAATCTTTTGTAAAAAAATTTACTTTTTTTTTTTTTTAAAGTTATAAGGTCTTGCTCTGTTGCCTGAGCTGGAGTGCAGTGGCACCATCATGGCTTACTGCAACCTAACACTTCTAGGTTTCAGTGATCTTCAGACTTCCTACCTCAGCCTCCCAAGTAGCTGGAACTACAGGCATACACCACCCCACCTAGCTAATTTTTAAATTCTTTGTAGAGATGAGGTCTTGATATATTATTCAGGCTGGTCTTGAACTCCTGGCCTCAAGCAGTCCTCTCATCTCAGTTTCCCAAGTAACTGGGAGTACAGGCATGAGCCACCATGCCTAGCTAGGAAACCACTTTCTAATGTATCCTCTTGGCAATTCAAGTTAGGTCTGATGTTTAACATAGTGGGTCGATAATTATGTGCCAGAGTCATAGTAATGATCTGCATGTTAATATAAATAGTGCAAGTAGGGGAAAAATTAGAGTGAAATGTTTATTATTCCTCCTTTAGTCTATATCAGCACAGGATGAAAACCTCTCAAAAACAATGTTTCTGCCCCTTGCCGAGAGAATGGTAGAAAAAATGGTGAAAGAGGACAAGATAGAAGCTGAGGCTGAAGTAAGTAATTTTTTTTTTTTTTTTTTTTTTTTGAACTGAGAGATTTATTAAAGGGGCAGTTACATGGAGGGACTGTAACCGAGGAAGGACGAGAGAGAGAAAAAGAGAGAGAGAGACCGAGAGAGAAAGAGAGCAAAAGAGTAAGAGAGTGGCGGGGACAGAGAGAGAAAGCAAAAAGGGGGGGGGAGGGAGTGTGAGAGAAAGTAAGAGAGAGAGAGAGAGCTAACAAGAGAGTGGTGGGGACAGAGAGAAAAAGCAAGAGAGAGAGAGAGAAAAGGCGAGAGAGTGACGGGACAGAGAGAGGGAATAAGAGAGAGAGAGAGTTATGCAGGGAGAAAGGTATATTTATGAACCTTGCAGGGGCAGGCCAGTGCCGTGCCTGAGTCTTATTGGAGGAGACTATGAGGTAGCATTCCTATAGGGAGATAATGTTTGTACATGAGTTTAAGTTTCGCGCACGCACTGGAGAGGCAGGAATTTACGGCCTTTGTTGTCTTTGGGAGGCAGAGCCATCTTGGGGATGCCCTTCTGACTGTGGTCTGCACCTTTCATTCCCACCTTTTCTGTTTATTTGGGAGAGGGGCGTCGTTACTCTCTCTGGCTGCTTCCTGCTGGATGTGGGCGTTGTGGGGTGAGGTGGGGGAAGGGCACAGAACCAGCCAGAACAGGGCCCAGAGATAGGCACTGAAGGTGAAGATTTCTGAAAGCGAGAGTTCTATAAAGGTCCCTTGTAGATGTAGAATGGCGACTTGTTCCGGCCACTCCTCCAGCGGGCACGAGGTTGGTAGTAGCCTGCTGTCTTGAAGCAGACTGTGGAGGTAGATAGAGAACCTGGAAGAGAACATATCTATCCAAAGGTCGCTGATGGATGCATTTTACGCGTTCAAAACTGGGACGGTCCAGGAGGGATGGAGTGGCTACAGGCGCTGGGTCGGGGCTCTCGCCCACGGGAATACACCCAAACAGAGGCAAGAGAACACCCATCTGAGTCGCGGCACCAATGAAAGAAGTTTTGGGGGGGGGCCAGTAACGACTCCACGCCGTCTGAACTGAGAGATTTATTAAAGGGGCAGTTACATGGAGGGACTGTAACCGAGGAAGGACGAGAGAGAGAAAAAGAGAGAGAGAGACCGAGAGAGAAAGAGAGCAAGAGAGTAAGAGAGTGGCGGGGACAGAGAGAGAAAGCAAAGGGGGGGGGGAGTGTGAGAGAAAGTAAGAGAGAGAGAGAGAGCTAACAAGAGAGTGGTGGGGACAGAGAGAAAAAGCAAGAGAGAGAGAGAGAAAAGGCGAGAGAGTGACGGGACAGAGAGAGGAAATAAGAGAGAGAGTGAAGTAAGTAATTTAAGTTCTACTTTTGTGATTTCATGATTTTGATAGCGTTACAAAATATATTGCTATATTATGAGCTGTTTATTCCCATTTGATTGCTGGTTCCTCGACTCTTGGCCTTTGTGTGAATGTGAAGCTTTGGAAGCTCCCAACTTGGGAAGAATGAACACTGAGCAAGAGATAATGAAGACTGAGCAAGTACTCTATAGATGAGATATCTGTAGATGGAGGAGATACTGTCTTCTGCTTCTTTTTTTGGTTTGTTTTTGAGTCAGAGTCTCACTCTGTCACCCAGGCTGGAGTGCAGTGGCACACTCAGCCCCCGCAGCCTTGACCTGCTGGGCTCAGTTGATCCTTCCGCCTCAGCCTTCCAAGTAGCTGGAACTACAGGCGAGTGCCCCCACGCCCAGCTGATATTTTGATTTGTTGTAGAGATGAGGGCTCGCCAAGTGGCCCAGGCTGATCTCTAACCCATAGGCTCGGCCTCCCAAATTCTAGGATTATAGATATGAACCACCATGCCCAGCCTCTCATCTGCTTCAATTCTCAGTTTCATCTCTTTTGAAGATATGTCCTTTCTATTTGTTAAATAGCTTTCTAAAGTCATACAAATGACTGTCTTCTTCTTGTCGAAAAGTTTCAATAGTCGCACTTTTTAATTGTTTTCTTCTTTAAGGTTGAACTTTATTATATGATCCTGGAACGTTTGGGAAAATACCAGGAGGCCTTGGATGTTATCAGAGGGAAATTAGGAGGTAATTTTTAAAAGTTTTCTTAAAGCTTTTTTTTCCTATTTAAACTATGAAAAATTATTATTGTGGAAAATTTTTTTCTCATACAGAAACATAAAGATATACACATATTAAATAACTTGCTAGGTGCATTATCTCAGACCTGTAATCTCAGCAATTTAGGAGGCTAAAACAGGAGGATTGCTTGAGCACAGGAGTTCAAGACCAGCCTGGTTAATATAGCAAGACTCCATCGCAAAAAAAATTTTTTCTAAGAAAAAAATATACAGAATCATTTGTGATCATTTTGTTAGCTTCTTTCCCACTTTTCTGTGTGTTGTGAATCTATTTTTTAAAATTTTTCTTTTTTTTTTGAGTTGGAGTCTCACTCTGTCACCCAGACTAGAGTGCAGTGGCTGCTCCCGGCCACCGCAGCCTCGACCTGCTGGGCTCCGGTGATCCTTCCGCCTCAGCCTTCCAAGTAGCCGGAACTACAGGCGCGCACTACCACGCCCGGCTAGTTTTTGATTTATTGTAGAGACGAGGTCTCGCCAGGTTGCCCGGGTGGGTCTTGAACCCGCGGGCTCAGGCAGTCCACTTGCCTTGGCCTCCCAAAGTGCTGGAATTACAGGCTGAGCCACCGAGCCCGGCCTCTAAAATTTTTTTACGTGAAAATAATTAATGCCTTTAGAAAATTCAAAGACTGAAACATGCTCCAGATCTCTCTAACCTTCTTCCCCTATGCTCTCATCTAGTTACTTGTCCTCCTGTATATTCTTCTTCTTTTTTTGACCCTTCCACCTCAGCCTTCCAAGTAGCTGGAACCACAGGCACATGCCACCACATCCAACTTATTTATTTATTGTAGAGTCGAGGTCTTGCCAAGTGCCTAGGCTGGTCTCAAACCCCTGGTCTCAGGCAATCCTCTCACCTCTGCCTTCCAAAGTGCTGGGATTACAGGTGTGAGCCACTGTGTGTGGCCGCTTGTTTGTTTTTTTTTTAAAGAAACAAAGTCTTGCCCCCTGTTGCCCAGGCTGCAGAGCAATGGTGCTGTCATAGCTCACTGTAAACACATACTCCTGAGCTCAAGGAGGCTCACTCCGTTGCCCAGGCTGGAGTGCAGTGGCATGCTCACAGCCATCCCAGCGTCAGCCTGCTGGGCGCTGGCGATCCTTCTGCCTCACCCTTCGAAGTAGCCGGAACTATAGGCGTGCGCGACCATGCCTGGCTAATTTTTGATTTATTGTAGAGATGAGGTCTCGTCAAGTTGCTCAGGCTGGTCTTGAACCTGCAGGCTCAGGCAATCCTCAGCCTCCCAAAGTGCTGGAATTACAGGCTGAGCCACTGAGCCTGGCCTGGTCTTCTTTACTGATTTTCTTTGATTGAATTGGAGTCTCACTCCTGTAGATGCAGCTACTGTTTCAGTAAACCTGGGTTTTCAACTGTACTCTTAAAGTCAGTGACTAACTATATGAATAGCCTCAGATCTTTTGTCAGTTACAGTCAGTAAAAAGACTTTGTTTCATATAAGTATGTTCTTTACTAAATTATAGTATAAAACTGTAGCAGTTTAATTGTATTTTTTTTTTACATTTTTTTAAATGTATCCTATTGTATAAACTTAAGCCTCCTTGTAGATGGGTAAAATTCTTTGGTTCAGTTTTTTTTTTTCCAACTAGATTGTAGTACTATGGATTGTTCACAGCTGTTTAGAAAGTTTGCTTCATCTCTACTCTTTTTAAAATCTTCTTCCAATGTTTCACCTTGCTCACTGTGTTGTAGCCCAATCCTATTTGATGATTTGGAACTTTATAGATGGGAAGTCTTTCCATGAACTAAATTTACCAGTTCCTAGATGCTGTTGGGATTTTATTAGCATATCCTTTGTACAAGATCCTCATCCTATTATATTCTGGATCCTTGTATTTTATAGATAAAACGGTTCTTTGACATTTCCTTCTTGTGGTTGGACTTTATTCTGATTTTTGAGCAAATATAAAACTAACTTATCAATTTTAACAACTTTTAATTGTAGAGAAGTTGACAAGTGAGATTCAGAGTCGGGAAAATAAATGCATGGCTATGTACAAGAAACTGAGTAGGTGGCCAGAGTGCAATGCTCTTTCCAGGCGCCTCTTACTAAAAAAGTAAGTAGATGTTTTTTTTTGTACCATGAGACTGTAGTGAGGCTTTGAGGCCTATTGATTTTGTGTATCTCTGAGTATTTTTGAGATTTCTGGGGATAAAGTTTTCTTTTAGTTATTTGTGTCCTGGATGTTTTTGAAAATCCTTAAGGAAATTTCATCTTTCAGTAAAGAGGTGTAATGGTACTTGTGCCACCATGCTGCTGAATATTAGGGCTGGAGAATGAATGCTGAAAATCAGTCTTTTCTCAAATTCCATTTTGGCCTTAAAGAGAGGGTTTCCTTCCTTCAACATTCTTCCCCTTCCCCATTTAGGATGTGCTTAGGCGAGGAGTTTTCTGTTATGAATATTAGTTTTTTAGATCTAGTCATTTTCTTGAAGGAAAGAGTAGTCTTGTAAAAGTTTTTAGTTTGAAAATGCCTCTGGAAAATGTAGAGGAAACCCAGAGGGAGAGGTGGACCGCCAAAATATAACTTAGAAAATATGTTGCTTGTCATGGTTCCTAAGGCAGATTTCTCACAACTTGGGTTTAATCCTTTGTGCGTTATTCCATCTGATTTTAGCTCAGATGACTGGCAGTTCTATCTTACTTATTTCGATTCTGTCTTTCGACTGATTGAAGAGGCCTGGATTCCTCCTGCTGAAGGTGAACAGTAAGTTGTCTTCTTTCCTGCATTACAGTGGTGCGCTTATACATTGTAGCAAAAGAATTTCATTATCGGCCAATTGAATTCTCTTTTTCTGTGTCAATAATATATTCCTATCAAAGTAAGGTTTTTTACTATTTTTAAATTATAAAATACACATGTTCAATGTAAAAATCTTGTTAGTATAGAAACATGGTGTGCTACTTCCCAGTTAACTTACCATTTCAGAAATAACTTTTTTTTTTTTTTTTTTTTTTTGAGTTGTTGCCCAGGCTGCACACTTCCGGCTACCGCAGCCTCTACCTGCTGGGCTCAAGTGTTCCTTCCGTCTCAGTCTTCCAATTAGCTGGGACTACAGGCATGTGTCACCACGCCCCGTTTTTTTTTTTTTTTTATTTATTGTAGAGATGAGTTCTTGCCAAGTTGGCCAGGCTATTCTCAAAGCTATGGGCTCAGGCAGTCCTCTTACTCTACCTTCCAAAGTGCTGGGATTATAAGTGTGAGCCACCATGCCCCACCCAGAAATAACTCTTGATAACAATTTGGTGTCTTTTCCTCCAGATTTATTTCTGTCTGTATGCTGACATAATTATTCTTATTATTTAACATGAAAATAGGATTGTATTAGACATGATTTGCAACTTCATATTTTCTTTAAATTCTAACTTGGTCATCTCTCCATTTATGATACATATAGATCTCTTTCATTCTTTCTCTCTCTCTTTTTTTTGAGTCTGAGTGTCACTCTATTACCCAGGCTAGACTTCAGTGACAAGATCGGTTCACTGCAGCTTCAGTCTCCCAGGCTCAGGTGATCCTTCTGCTTCAAATTCCTGAGTAGCTGAGACTACAGGTGCCTGCTAACACACCTGGATAATTTTTAAAACTTTTTTGTAGAGATGAGGTCTTACTATGTTGCCTAAGCTGGTCTTTAACTCCTGGGCTCAAGCAATTCCCCCACCTCGGCCTCCCAAAGAAAGTGCTGAGATTATAGACGTGAGCCACCATAACAGCTCTCTTTCATTCTTTAGTGAATGGCTTAAGGGTACTTTGTTTTTATTTTTTATTTTTTTGAGTTGGTGTCTCACTCTGTCACCTAGACTGGAGTGCAGTGGCCGCTCTGGCCTCCGCAGCCTCAACCTGCTGGGCTCTGGCGATCCTTCCGCCTCAACCTTTCAAGTAGCTGGAACTACAGGCGCGCGTTACCATGCCCGGCTAATTTTTTGATTTATTGTAGAGATGAGGTCTCGCCAAGTTGCCCAGGCGGGTCTCGAACCCGCGGGCTCAGGCAATGTTTTTGTTTTTATTCTTTTTTTTTTTGAGTCAGGGTGTCACTCAGTTGCCCAGGCTGGAGTACAATGGCACAATCATGTACCGGGCTCAACTCTTTGACTCAAGTAATTCTCCCACCTCAGTCTCCCAAAGTGCTTGGATTACAGGTGTGAGCGACTGTGCCTAGATGAGTACTCCATTTTTTAGAAAGGTTTGCGCCATAGTTCACTTAACTTCTCCCCTATTGTTGATACTTGGATTTTTGCAGATTTATTTTTCTTTTATCTTTGTCCCCCCCCCTTTTTTTTTTTTACTATTATAGGCAATACTACAGTAAATATAAATGGGATCTTTTTAAAGAGTGAATACAGAAATAAGATTTAGGATGCGGTTATTAATTGATGCTTACTTCCTAATATTAACTAAGTTAGGTAATTTTTCTCAACTTTTATTTTTCAGGCAATAAAATAAAATTTTCTTATGTTTTTATTAGGCAATATTTTACATGAAAAATTCCGTTTTTTTTCCTTTTTCCTCTTTCTTTCAGTTTCTTTCTTTTTTTTTTTTTTTGAGTCAGGGTCTCACTCTGTCACCCCAGGCTGGTGTGCAGTGGCGTGGTCATGGCTCACTGCAGCCTTAACCTCCTTAGTCATCAAGCAGTCCTCCTGCCTTAGTCTCCTGAGTCGCTGGGACTACAGGCTCATGGCTAATTTATTTTTCTTTTTCTTTTTTTTAAGGCTAATTTCCATTTTTCTAGAGGCGAGATCTCAGTATGTTGCCTAGGTTGGTCTCAAGCTCCAGGTCTCAAGTAGTCCTTTAGCCTCAGCCTTCCATCATGCTGAGATTCCAGACATGAGCTACTGCTCCTGGCCTTCATTATTATTATTATTTTTTTTTTTTGAGAAGGAGATAGAGGTGGTAAATCACTGTGCAGTAATCACATACTGAAATTGGGAGTAGTCTTATAACATGTTATCTGTTAAAATATCCTCATAGTTCTCTTTTGTTCCCTCTTGTATTGTTTTATTTTTTGAGTCAGGCTGTCATCCAGTCTGGACTGCAGTGGCATGTTCGTGACTACTGCAGCCTCAGCCTTCTGGGCTCAGGTGAGTTTTCTGCCTCAGCCTTCTGTAAAGACGAGGTCTTGCCTAGGCTGGTCTCGAACCCCTGGACTCAGGTAGCCCTCTTGCCTTTACCTCCCAAAGTGCTGGGATTAAAGGTGTGAGCCACCAAGCCCAGCCTATCTTGTATTGTTTCACATATATATTTTTTTGAGTAAGAGTCTCACTTTGTCACCTAGTTTGGAGTGCAATGGCATGATCACAACTACCACAGCACTGACCTGCTGGGTTCAGGTGATCCTGGTACCTCAGCCTTCCAAGTAGCCAGTATAGGCACATGCCACCATGCCTGACTAATTTTTTGATTTATTGTAGAGACGAGATCTTACTATGTTGCCCAGGCTGGTCTTGAACCCCTGGGCTCAGGCAGTTAGGTGTGAACCACCGCACCTATCCTTGTTTTATAATTATCTGAGTGCCTTTTTTTTTTTTTTAAATCAGGGCCTTACTCGGTTGTCCAGGCTAGAGAGCAGTGGCGTGATTATGGCTCACTGCAGCTTTAACCTCCTCGACTTAGGTGATTCTCTTGTCTCAGCCTTCCAAGTAGCTGGGACTATAGGCACACACCACCATACCTGGCTAAATTTAAAATTTTTTGTGGAGACTATGTCTCACTGTGTTGACTATGCTGGTCTCAAACTCCTGGGCTCAAGCAATCCTCCTGTCTCCATCTCTCAAAGTGCTGGTATTATAGGTGTGGATCACCATGCTTGGCCTCAAAATGCTTTTCTTATTTTTTAATTTGTTTCTTAAAATCAGTTTGGCTTGACTTTAAGCTTTGGGAAGGACTATAGAGGCAATAAAATACTTTTTTTATGTGTCTATACTCAGCTCTTTAGAAGGAGAAGTACATTATTCTGCAGAAGAAGCTGTGAAGTTTATAGAAGATCGGATAACAGAAGAATCTAAAAATTCTCGCCATCTCAGAGGACCATATCTAGCTAAACTGGAGCTGATTAGGCGTTTACGAAGGCAAGGATATAACGATGAGTACAAACTGGGTAAGACACCACATGACATTTGGGAACCCTGGAGAAGATATAGGGATGCTGTTAGTACTCAAGTATAGTTATTTATTATCTGATGCCTAGAGTGCAAATTTGTGTTTGGGAAGGAAACGTATTCATAACCTGTAAATATTTACTAGAATGAATCACTTATAAAATTTGTCCTCAGTCACGTATTTGACTTGGTTTAACATTAGCATCTCTCCCCATTTCATGAGTCTTTGTTAGTCATTCTTTTGCCAACCCAACAATTAAGTCAAAATGAATTTCAAAGTAAAATTGCCTGTTTTGCAAAAGTTTCATGAAGTGCATGAAAGATTTCTTGAGACTCTGCTCCAGGCACTCACAAAACCATTAACAAAAGACTATTTGGCAGAATTAGAGCAAGTCGTAGCTGAAGAGAAAATTTATAAGGATAATGAAAAGATGGGAGAAAAGAATGATGTGGATAGATAGTAAAGCATTGAGAGAAGTCTTCAGGAAATTTGCTCAAGATTTTAGATGTTTTTATAAAATATTCTTTATGATCTTATTACACAATAAGTGAAAGTTGTTTTAATTGTGCTAGTTCACAATTTTGCTGGAAAAATTACTCTGTTCCCTCTAAAAACCAGTAATTCTTTGCTCATACTAAGAATTGGCTTGAAATTTTAATTATACATTACATTTTAGTAAATTTAAGATAGCTTTGTTTTTATATATTTTTAGATTGGAAAATATAGTTTATTTTGAAAGTAAGTTGAAGAGAGAGAGGAGATTAACCTCCCCAAGGTAGGGGAGGGGGCCAAAACTTAGGAAACATGGCAGCCATGGCTCAAAGAGCCATGTAGCCCGGCCAGAATTTAGCAAAGCATTGGCCGACAGCTTCATTTTTAAAGACAATGTTCCAAATAAACTTTTTCTTCCTTCACTCATCATTATGAAAGTTTGGTCCGTAGGAAAAGTTGATTATAGAATATCTGTCCATCTAATTCATGCTCTTCGCAGCTCATTTAAAAATAAACCATGGACTTATCTCAGTCATTCCCTTACTTAGTAGGCTATTCACAGTCACTTTGAATTCCTTGTTGACTTCTTTCTTTGCATCTACCTTAGTAACCTCAGTCTGTGCTAGTTCCAGAATTGCAAATAAAAATTTTTATATGATTTTCAAAAAAATATTGTTAGACTTCCAAAAAAATGCTTTTTTCCCCAAAGCAGGTTAGAAAAAGTGTTTGGATCTGCCTTGACACTGGCTTTATACATCACGTATTTTTCTCTTCCCATTCATCTGCCCACATCTTACCAATTTTTGAATTTGTCTGGTTGCCACAAAATTTTTTCTTCCAGATCAGCGAGTGATTCTTAGTGTCTTATATCACCGAGTCCTATGAGAATTTGATTAAGGCCTCTCTTCCCAGAAAAATGTGAATAGGAGCCAAGATCTACAATCTTACAAAGACTCTAGGTTAAATAACACTAACTTCTAAGTCTCATGTCAATTTAAGAGTTTCTTTCTTTCTTACTTGTTTGCCTTCTTGCTTCTTTCCTTTCCTTCTCTTTTTTTGGTACATGTCAGAGTCTCACTCTGTTGCCCAGGCTTGGGTACAGTAGCATGCTCTTGGCTTCTGTAACCTCACAGCCTTCCAAATAGCGGCACTACAGGCTCACACCACCATGCCCAACTTATTTTTATTTTTTGCTTTTAATTTGAGGAAAAAAATGAGCCAGTAACTTTCTGTGTATTCAGGCTTAAATTTTCTATGGTGAGTGACTTGTTAGAGTAAATCATTGGCTTGTGGCTCTTCCTGTTTATTTTCTTTTCTGTTGGTGTGCCTGTTAACTAACATTACCTTTCATTTAGTTAGCATCTACTTAATACTACTTAAGTAGATTAGGAACTGTTGTGGAGAAAAGCATGTTTGTTTAATGTTTGCATTTAAACTTAAAGTTTTTTAAAAAATTTTTTATTTTTAAAGACCAGTCTCATTCTGTTGCCCAGGCTGGAGTGCAATGGCACAATCATAGCTAACTGAAGCCTCAAAGTCATGGACTTCCACTTTAGTCTCTTGGGTAGCTATGACTGTAGGTAGCTATGGCAAGCTCATTTTTAAAAAATATTTTTTTTGGCCGGTGCCTCAAGCCTGTAATCCCAGCACTTTGGGAGGCCGAGGTAAGAGGATTGCTTAAGCCCACGGATTCGAGACCAGCCCGGGCAACTTGGCAAGACCTCATCTCTACTATAAATCAGAAAATTAGCTGGATGTGATAGTGCATGCCTGTAGTTCCAGCTACTTGGAAGGCTGAAGCGGAAGGATCCCCTGAGCCCAGCAAGTTGATGCTGCAGTGGCCTTGAGTGTACCACTGCATTCCGGCCTGGGCGATGGAGTGAGACCCCAACTCAAAAAAGAATTTTTTGTTTTTGGTAGAGATGGAGTCTTATTATGTTGCCCAGGCTGTGGTCTCAAATGCCAAAGTGGTGGGATTACAGTGTGAGCCACCGTGCTCAGCCAAGTCTTTATTTAAACTTTAATTTAGTGAAAAACTTCTTAGCTATTTAAATTTTAGCTGAATGAGAAGGTTTACATTTCGTAAGTATAATAGCAAGTAAGCTGAGTTTGTAAGATTCAGTTTACTTTTAAAGTATTTGTATATTTTAAAACTGGCAAGCCATCTTACAGCCATCACTCTCATTCCAGCAGAATTTTAATTTAATTGAAATACCTGTTTCCAAATTAGATCTCTCACTTAAATTAGAAATTGCTTCAGTCCATGAATGATTTAGTGTTTTTTTCTCCCCTCTTAGGTGATCCAGAAGAATTAATGTTCCAGTATTTTAAAAAGTTTGGGGATAAACCTTGTTGTTTTACAGACCTTAAGGTGTTTGTTGATCTCTTACCTGCTACACAGTGTACAAAAGTAAGTACTGTACAGTTCAGAATTCTGTTGGGTGCCTCTGTTTATTGAAATACAGAGGTTAAATGTTTGGGTTTTCTTTCTAAAATATGTGGTGAATATGAGGTATGTTAACTGTCCTATCAATCTAACGACGCTATGTACTAGCACATTGGATGTACAGTTTGTTGTTATGTTTTTTTTTTTGAGTTGGAGTCTCACTCTGTCACCCAGACCGGAGTGCAATGCCCGCTCCTGGCCACCGCAACCTCGACTTGCTGGGCTCCGGCGATCCTTCTGCCTCAGCCTTCCAAGTAGCTGGAACTACAGGCGCACGCTACCACGCCCGGCTAATTTTTGATTTGTTGTAGAGATGAGGTCTCTTCAAGTTGCCCAGCCAGGTCTCGAACCTGTAGGCTCAGGCAATCCACTCACCTCAGCCTCCCAACGTGCTAGGATTACAGGCTGAGCCACCGAGCCCCACCTGTTATGTTAAGCCACGATGGGAGTAGACCCCTGACAGATCATTGGTTTCTTCTTCTTTTTTTTTTAATGTTTTATTTTGAGATAATTGTAGATTTGCATACAGTTGGGAGAAATAACACAGAGCGATCCCATATATTCTTCATCCAATTTGCCCCAGTAGCAACATCTTGCATAATTATAGTATAATATCATAATTAGGAAGTTGACATTGATACCATCCACAGAACTTTATCAGATTTTACCAGTTTTACATGCACTTATTTGTGTATGCATGTGTGTGGTGTGTGTGTGTTTAGTGTAGTATGTGATGCTTAAGGATTTATGTGACCATGACCATAGTCAAGATAATAATCCTTTAATACCCATATCCACCTCCTTGTACCTTCCCCATCTCTATCTCTGGACAGCTAGTATATTTTTCATCCCTATAATTTTGTTATTTTCAGAATGTTAAGTGAATGGAATTATGCTATGTGTAACCTTTGAGACAGGCTCAGCCTAATTCCCCAGAGAGTCACTCATGTTATTGCATATATTGGTAATTCATTCCTTTTTATTGCTGAATAGTCTTCTGTGATATAGCTATATCCTGATTTCCTTAACCAGTCATCTGTTTCAGGACATCTGAGTATTTTTACTTTTTGGCCATTATATATGAAGCTCCTATGAACATTGGTGTGCAGGTTTTTTGTGCATAAACATGTCTTAATTTCTCTGAGAAAAATGCTCAGTAATGCAATTGCTGGGTCTTAGGGTAGCTGCATATTTAGTTTTTTTATGAAGTGACCAAAGTGATTTTCATTTTAAATTCTTGCTAGCAGTAAGTGAGTGATCCAGTTTCTCTGCATCCTCATCAGCATTAAGTGTTGCCACTATTTTTGTTTTAGCCATTTTGGTAAGTGTGTAATGATATTTCATGTGTTTGTTTGCTATATGCATGTCCTCTTTAGAAATGTCAGTGCCTTTTGCTCAGTTTCTAGTTGATTTGCTGTTTGTTTTTTATTGTTGAGTTTTTTTATATTTCAAAATTTTTGAGAATTGGGCAGCACTTCATTCCATAAAATAGAATATTCCCTACTATTGAGTTGACAGAGTTCTTTATTTATTCTAAATACAAGTCCTTTCATTAGCTATACGTTTTGAAATATTTTCTCCCAGTCTATGGCTTGTCCTTTTATCCTCTTGGCAAGTTTTGATATTTTATTTTATTATATTATAGAGATGTGGGGTACAAGTGAGTATTAACTACCTAGGTAGGCTTCATGCAGGTGAAGTTTGGGCTTCCCACTGACCCTCCTTCCCCTGGTAGTATATCTGGTACCCTTTGTGTTGCTACCTGCCCCCAATTTTTTTTTTTTTTTTTGAGTCAGAGTCTCACTGTGTCGCCCAGGCTGGAGTGCAGTGGCACATTCATGGCTACTGCAGCCTCGACCTGCTGGGCTCAGGTGTTCCTTCTGCTTCAGCCTTCCAAGTAGCTGGGACTACAGGCTTGTACCACCATGTGTGGCTAATTTTTTGATATATTTTTTTTTTTTTGTAGAGATGAGATCTCACTAATGTCTTGTCTCTGATATGCTGACATCTATAGGCTAATCACTAATGATTTGAAACCATTATTCCTGTTGAAACAGTCTGAAATTTAAAAGTCTTAGGGTTTTTAAAAAAATTTCACTTTGCGTTAACTTTAAATTTATAGAGAAGATAGCACAGGGAGTTATCATATACCCTTCACCCAGCTTTCGTGAATGTTAACTTTTTTTTTTTTTTTTTTTTTTTTGAGTTGGAGTCTTACTCCATCGCCCAGGCTGGAGTGCAGTGGCACACTCATGACCACTTCACATTGACCTGCTGGGCTCTGGCGATCCTTCCGCCTCAGCCTTCCAAGTAGCCAGAACTACAAGTGTGTGCTACCACGCCCGGCTAATTTTTGATTTTAGTTATAGAGATGAGGGCTCTCCAAGTTGCCCAGGCTGGTCTTGAACCCGCGGACTCCCAAAGTGCTGGGATTACAGGCTGAGCCACTGATCCCAGCCAAATGTTAACATCTTAAATGACCATGAAATATTTGTCAAAACTAAGAAACTGACATTGATAATTTTCATATTAACTAATCTCTAGACTCTATTTGGATTTCAACAGTTTTTCCATTAAGCATCTTTTCTTGTTCCAATATTTAATCCAGGGTACTAGATTGTATTGTATTTAGTTGTTATGCAATAGGAGTTTTTAATGTGAGTGAATCAGTGTAAATCAGTTATATATCAGCATGGAGAACCATATACTTTTTTTTTTTTTTCTTTGAGTCGGAGTCT